CTCGAAAACCCTTTCTAGCCACTCGTTGTCTCCCTCCCCTATATGGTTGAACTCTATTCCCCCAAAAGTCGGCCTCCCACTAACTTCCTCTTTATATAAGTTCTCATAAAACCCCGCTATCGCCCTTTTTACCTCCTCCTCTCCCTCAATCCTCACTCCATCCACAAATAAGGACTCTATGAAGTTTCTCCTTCGATTTGCGACCGCCACCCTATGAAAAAACTTGGTATTCGAATCCCCCTCCTTTAGCCAGAGCGCCCTCGATTTTTGCCGCCAAACTAGTCTCCTGAGCTATTGCTAACTCGACTATTTCACTCCTAACCTCCCCCAATCTCTCTTTCTCAGATTCGTCTAACTCGCTCGCCCCTTCCCCTCTTTCTAAATCCCCCAATTCATGCATAAGCTCCCTCATTTTAACCTCTACCCTCCCAAAAACCTCCTTATTCCACCTTATAATATCTCCCTTGAGCAATTTGAGTTTCTTCGAAAGCCGGTATGAAGGTGTCCCTGATACCCCATAGCTTGTCCACCATTCTTTCACCTTGTCACCGAATCCTGGCACCTTCAATCACATGTTTTCGAATCGGAAGGAAGCACGCACCCTCCTCCCTTTGCATCCATCTAGCAAAATAGGCAAATGATCTGAAGTCAACCTAGGTAAAGGAATCTGCAGCGCATTCGGCACCAGCTCATCCCATGAGGGAGATGTCAGGAATCTATCAATTCTAGACCTTGAGTTGGAATCCTCCGCCCTGACCCAAGTAAACCTTTCCCCTGATAGAGGAAGGTCAATGAGAAGGTGATGGGGGGAGAGAAATAGGAGAGCTTTTGAGGCGATTGAGTCTCCTTTTTCACATCTTAAGAATAGTCTTTTATCTTTGATCGCTTTTTGGTGCACTCATTTAGCCCCGACTTGTATAGAAGATTGGGCGTCTTTTGTAGAGAATCATGTTCTGATGTAAATTCTCTACGTTTTGGTATACTTCGTGTATACGGGAGTTCTCTCCCTTTTGATTAATACAATTTACCTTATCAAAAAAAAAATGTTCACCGGACATTAGTATTTGTTTTGATGACTATCATGTTTTATAATCTCATTGTTCTTCTGGATTTTTGATATGGTTTTAGCTTTTTGAAAGATGACATCAGTTAATATGGGCATTGGGTGTTTGGGTGAGACATGTTGAAGTGGGTTAGTGGTGGATCCCGCCCATTATTAGGCTGAACTCGTGTTGGCTTGTAAAATATTCATTATGTTGCAGTTAGACAAAAAAAAGCATTATGTTGTGTTGAACCATTCCGTGAAGCTCATTTTGAGTCCGCACGTAATACCTATCTGGGAAAAACCATCCATTTGCCTCCCGCGCTGCAAAATCCATTTAACTGTTCATCTGTTCTATCACTTGCTTCTTATCCATTATATTGTTGCAACCTTGTAATAAATTGGCATTTAAGAAAATTAACTATTTGTCACTCGCTCATCATTTGGCCGTTGTTAACAATTTGTTCTTGGTGTCTTTTGTAGGTTAAATCAAAACTTGAAATCCTTGGCTCTTATGCTGATGCTACTGAAGGACTAATAATACACGGATGGATAACGAAGATTGAAAACCACGGTTGCTTTGTCCGCTTTTACAATGGAGTACAAGGATTTGCCCCTAGGTTACTCCCTTGCAATTCACCCTCCAAACTAAATGCCAATACCTATCTGTATTTTTGTTATTTTATCATGTGTGGTAACACATTGACTTTTGGCTTTTCTTTTCACTTCTGATCTGATTATGTTTCTGTAAACGATAGTACTTTTATTTCATTCTGTTCCTTCATCAGTTAATCATTTTTACATCTCTGAGAGGATTAAATGTGTATTACCTATATTTTCCAGACTTCTTCTTTCTCTTCTGAGTTATGAGTTTGCTTTACCAATTCTATGAATGTGGACTGATATAATGGCAAGTAGAATATATTCTAGATTAGCTTTAAGAATCTCTTTTCAGAATTGAACTCTGTTATTATCTGTATGAGATTACATAATTGCTTTGTAATGGAAAGTTGAATATACTTGTGTGGATTAGCTATAATCTAATATGTTATTATTTGTATGAGATTACTGAATTGCTATTATCCGATAAAACATTTAGAGTATCAAGAAGAGTGCAATAGAAGTTTACTGAAGTAGTGAAGTGTTGCAAATTGCCTTTGCATCAGCGCTGCTCGTGTCTTCATAATTTCTTCAAATATGTGCTCTTAGACTATCATTTGCGGATGTTAACTTTTTCATTGAAGGAAAATTTTATTATTCTTCTTCTTTGCGTTCTGACAGATTGAAATAAGACTTAATGTAAATTAAAATGAATTGGATGATCAAAAAATGATTTTAAGATCAGGGTAAAGGCTACATGTGATCTGAGATTTGTCAGTATATTTGGCTCTGTGTCAATTTATATTCTGCAGCGTCTTATTGGAACTGATGCTTCCATTTATATCCAGATCTGAACTTGGACTAGATCCGTGCTGTGAGATAAGTTCCATGTATCACGTTGAACAAGTGGTGAAATGTAGAGTTACCAGTTCTAATCCGGCTTCACGGCGTATTAACCTCAGTTTGACAACAACACCCTCAAGGTTTGTTTCTTTTTTGTCTTCGTTAGAAGTTGCTTTAATAATGTAAAAAGAATTCATTTCTAACATGCTCTTGAAACTATTTTTATAAAACCATAACTCCAGTCTGAATATTTTTTCTTATTCCTCTAATGAGCTTCCGTTAGAAGAACATGTTATGTAGGAATCCTTTTTCATTTCTATTGATGATCACTCTCAAGCGGTTGAAGAAACAGCTGAATATTTTTCATAATGAGGGGATCAACTTTTCATATGCTTAAATATATGAAGTTCTTGTATTCCAGTAATGATGTCAGCAATCTTCTTTAATAAATGGACTTTATGTGACAGTATGTTGCTATTGTTATTGGATGTAAATTTTGTGGATCTTCAATACATGGATGTATTGAAATTAATATTTTTTGCAGCTTTTTTGCTTTCTTCATGGTGGTTTGTTAGAGAGTTGGTGTCTCTTGAATCATTGACATCTTTAGACTGAAAAATTTATGTGACTTTCAAGATTTTCTTCACGAAACCACTTTATTGCCATATTGATCAAATATGCATGTCTCTTTGCCCTGTACTCATACGGCTTTATTTTTGAGGTTGCATTTTCTGGATTGCATTTTTTTGATTAAATAAATGATTCCTCCATTTATTTGAATGTTAATGCTAGGGTATCTAGCAATGAACTGGTCAAACCAGGAAAGGTTGTTTCTGGAGTGGTTGAGCGAGTAACTGCCGATGCAGTTGTCATAGATGTTACTGCTCAGGGTCATTTTAAGGGCACAATCTCTCCTCAACACTTGGCTGATCACACTGGTGAATGTTATGCAATTGAATCCTTTTTCCTCCCTCAATTGCTTTTACAGATTCCCCTTTTTTATGTCCTTGTGCACTATATGCATCAATTATGCGTTTAATATTCTTGTTTTTGCCACTTTGCAAGGCCATGCTGAGTTGATGAAGTCTGCCTTGAGGCCTGGGTATGAGTTTGATCGGCTTTTGGTTCTTGGTACTTTTTCTATCCTACATCCAGCTGTATTCAGTTATCTCTACAGTTAATTTCTGCTCATTTCCCACCATTTGTTTCATAGCTCACTGCTCACTTGTCCAGTAATTTTGTCTTTTATTTGTTGGATAGACATATAGCTTATAGTTTTTCTGACAAGAGGCCAAAGTTGTAGTGTTCCTGAATAATAATAGCAAAAAGATGGTGTCTTGTTAATCTAGATAAGGCATGTCATTGAGAAATTAATGAAATTCATTATGTTAAGGAAAACTTATCAATGGTGCAGTATGAAACTGAAAAAACAAAAGAGGGTGCAAAGATTTCTAGCTCTAGGTTTTCTAGTTGCATGCTACAAAGTCAAAGTATTGAATACTAATTTAACCAAGACTGCTGTAGATGTTGGAGATATCCATTATAATACCTTATATTAATGCTGCAGTCGACTTTGTATCCTCTGGACTTGTTATTTGTTCTTGTTCTTATGTGATTCTTCTGTAGTTTAACCAACTGCGACTGATAGACTAACCTGTGGTTTTTCTATGTTCTTTTAGTTTTTCGGGCTGCATGAGAGAGAGAGAGAGAGAGAGTATTTAAACACGTGCACTGACTAGATATTTGTCTGGATCTTTGATGTTTGTAGATGTTGAGGGCAGCAATTTAATACTCTCTGCAAAACATTCTCTTGCGACCTCAGCTCAGCAGCTTCCGCTGGATGTTAGTCAAGTCCATCTTAACTCTGTGCTGCATGTAAGAAACTTACTTCCTAGTTTCTGAGTTTCTTTCATCCCTCCCTTCTAGGTGAGTTAGGTAACTGTTTATAATCCAAATGGCAAGGAACTGAGGCATATTTTTTTCTTTGTTTTACTCCTCTTATGGGTGGGCGTGGTTCTTGCAAATTGTGATTGTTCATGACTGAAGAGGTCACAACAAATAAAGTTAAAAGGATCTTTTGAAACCCCCAAAGCACTAGTAGTTGAAGTTAATTTATTAACTATGATGTTATTACTTTCTGGTAATTCCACTTCTCGATAACCACAGCATGTATCTTTTTATCCAGGGGTATATTTGTAATATAATTGAAAGTGGTGTCTTCATTCGCTACCTCGGGCGTTTGACTGGTTTTTCTCCAAGAAACAGGGTATATACTTCTTGCAGTAAATCTACTACCTTCATAATTGTCTATTTTATTTGGATGAAGTGCATTATATGATCAATAAAAATCGCTGATTCATCATCGTTTTTCGTGAAGGCTACTGATGACAGAAGATCTAGTCTTTCTGAAGTTTACCAGATTGGACAGTCTGTCCGCTCTAACGTAGTTGATGTAGGTCAACCGTTTGGTATAATGAAGCTTTGGTATGTTATGTTTTTGCGATTCCCATTGAAATTTAGGTTCTTCCCTTCTCTCTCTCATTCAGGTTAGCAGTGAAACAAATCGAATTACAGTTTCTTTGAAGCAGTCGTCCTGCTCTTCAACTGATGCATCCTTTATTCAAGAATACTTCCTTGTGGAGGAGAAGGTAATTACTGACAATGAATTCCATATTGCCGAACAACTCTTCTGATCACGACTGGCAAAAAATCCCTGTTTGCTTGTCAGACACATCGATTATTCTATGTCTCTTTACACACATAATCACTTGGTAGGTAAATGAACTATCAGAACAATTGTCAGAAGAAGAAAAGTAAAAAAAGAACTATCAGAACAAAGAAACATTTTGGAAATCTGTAGGAAAATCTTCTTCAGTATAGGTCTTTGTACACGGAAATGCTCCTTTATTACTGTATAGGCCTTGTGCAGGCAGATTTTCTGTCCTTAGGAAGGGACTTTCTATCTGGGAGTGCACTTGAGAGTTGAAACTGCCTAAGTTAACTGTAAATCCTTTTATTTTTGGGTTAAATGGGATTCACTTTAAATCTTATTCCTTTAAACTTAGTCGAGACTTTTCCCATTTGATTTATCTTCTCTTCTTATTCTTGGTTGTGTCCATTTGGAATGGAAAGAAAAATATCACGTGCTGTTATGATTTGGCTGTTTTGACTTGAAACTTCTGGAAGTACCATAAATCTTCTGCTTTGTAGCTTTTGACTTGAATGATCAAGTCTGTTGCGGTCTTAGCTCCTCTGTTTTCTCATTTATTAACCTTTACAACTTTCAAGAGCATGAATTCCAGCCTTGGGTCTAGAATAGGTGGGGCTTGTATGTGTATTATCTCCTGCTTACAGAGAAGAATGTGCAAACTGAGTCAAGATTAAAATAAAAAAATCCTGTGTGCTAAGGTCATGCATTGGAGTCTCTAGTCTCATCATTGTTCCCTGTCAGTAGGAATGTTTGTATTTCTTGGGTATCACAAAGATACACTTCTACTCGTAATTATAAGTAATCTATGCCAATTTACAAGTTTCAAGTATTCAAATTCGTTGAGCAATTCATGCTTAAAGAATCAGGTAATGTTTTCTTTTGTAGTACAAATATGAGATACCAACTATTGGATCTCTGTGCTCAATCAGACCTTGTTATATTAAAGGGGATGTAGGGACACTCTTTTCTCTTAACATCTATATCATTTTGATTGGATCTTTATTCATCTTTCGCTGCTATCAGATTGCAAAGCTGCAGTCGGTGGACTCTGGAAGTTCTGACTTAAGATGGGTGGAAGAATTCAATCTTGGTAGCACTGTGAAGGGAAAAGTTCATGAAATAAAGGAATTTGGTGTTGTAGTAAGCTTTCAGAAATATGATGATGTTTTTGGTTTTATCTCCCACTATCAGTGTAAGTCCCTGTGAAACATTGAATAACCAGTTATTATTTGTTGCCTTGAGAACCAATACTAAGTATATGATATTCTTTGCAGTAGGTGGAATCTCTGTGGAAACTGGCTCAAGTATTCGAACCACGGTACTTGATGTTTCCAAGATAGAACGCCTAGTGGATCTGTCTTTGAAGCCAGCTTTTGTGAATAAATCAAAGAAACAGACCACTAATAATCAAGCCCAGAAGGTCATTCTTGAAATTGCTATTTCATTGTTGTGCTGTAATGTTCATTCTCTCAGTTTTGTTTGCCTCATTAAGGATATTTTAAAGAAAAATAATAGCTTCTTGCTTTCATACTAATTTTTTTGATAACGGAGAAATACCAAGGGCTAGTGGCGGACGGTTCGAAACTCAGTTTATAATGGACCTGCCCCTCTACCCTTTTCTACTTAAATACCAGGTTTTTGTCCGCAACACCGTTTGAACCGCGATGTGCGGCTAACCCACACATCACAAGTTTTACCGGTTACCACTAGTCCAAAGCCTTCGGGGGCTGCTCTCATACTACTACTTCAAAGAAAAACTATTAATTTTGTGTATGCAATCTTGTATTTTGTTTTCTTCTTTTATCTTGCATCTATATTGGTTGTGTTAGTTTACAGATATGTATAGTGTAGTCTTGTCCCACATTGGAAGAGGAGTAATATCTCCTTGTAGTGTATAGCTATAAATAGGGACCTCTTGTATTGTATTTATGATCCAATATCAATAACATATTTTCTCCCGTGCCTTCTCGCATGGTATCAGAGCATTAGTGAGAAAAGATTGATGTGCGTCATTCCATCGTTAATCGGGAAGAAAGAACTTAGTCATCCTGCAATTTTTCCGGTGACCTAAGGCTTGTCTAAGTGAAAGTCACTTTCTGTCGGTGTTGTGCTAAACCAACACCACCACGAGGTAGATCACCCTCCGACGCCCAACCCCTGAAATTTTATCTGGCAGAAAAGCCGCCACGTTCCTCCACGCGCCGGCAACAACTTTTCCGGCGAGGGTTCCGGCCATTGTTTCGCGAAACTTCTTCAGGACAGTGTGCTCTTCTCAAAATTCCGAGCCTACCCATCTAATTCAAATCAAATTCCGACCACTTTTATATTTTTCCGGCGTGAACAGTGACCTTTCATGGCTATTGTTTTTTAAAACATTTCTTCAGGACAACTTGCTCGCAAAGGAATTCCGAGTCTATCCATCCTGGTTACGACAAATTCTGACAACTTTGGAATTTTCCGGTGAGCTACAGTGTTTCCGGCACAGAACAATGTTCTGTTTCCTGCTGTAAATAGTGTTTTTCATGCTATTTCTTCAGTTTTCTCACAAGAGCTACTTATTTCCACTATTTCAAGTTAACCCTACTACTACAAATTGTAGCGACATGGGAACCGATGCTTTGAATAGTCGGATGGTTTCTTTAGCAGAGTATATTGAGTTCCTTCAGTATAAAGCATGTAAGCAGACATCTTCTGAGATAGCTTCTGTTGTTCAAATAGGTAATAACGTGACTTGTTTCTCCCAATCTTCATCCTCTGAGTCTTGGGTCATTGATTCAGGTGCATCAGATCATATTTCTGGTAACAAATTCTTTTTCACTACTATTTCGTATTCTCAATCTCTTCCAAAAGTCACAATAGCCAATGGGTCTCAAACCATGGCAACTGCAATAGGTCAAGCAAGCCCACTTCCTTCCTTACCTTTAGATTCAGTCCTTTATGTTCCCAATAGTCCTTTTAATCTCATAGTTGTTAGTCGCTTAGTCAAATCACTTAAATGCGCTGTTTTATTTCTTATTGACCATGTTGGTACCGGGCGCGAATCAAACAGACTTTATTACCTTATCCTTGCTAAATCACATGGACTCACATCTTGTCTTCCTTCTACAACTTGTCCTGTTACTCATTCACCAGATTTATTACATAAACGGTTGGGACATCCCAGTTTGTCAAAATTTCAGAAAATGATATCTTATTTATCTCACTTGTCAGCTCTAGAGTGTGAGTCATGTCAGCTCGGTAAGCATACCCGCTCCCATTTCCCTTGGCGTCTTGATAATCGAGCAGAGTCACATTTTACTTTAGTCCATTCAAATGTTTGGGGTCCTAGTCGGGTCAGTTCCACCTTGGGATTCCGTTACTTTGTCAGTTTCATTGATGATTATTCCAGGCGCACTTGGATATTTTTAATAAAAAATCGATCTGAGCTGTTTTCTATTTTCCAGACCTTCCACGCTGAAATTCAAAATCAATTTGGGGTTTCTATTCGCACATTTCGTAGTGATAATGCCCGAGAGTATTTGTCTTCCCCATTTCAGCAGTTTATGAAATCTCATGGGATTATTCATCAAACATCTTGTCCGTACACATCTCAACAAAATGGGGTAGCTGAAAGAAAGAATAGACATCTTATTGAAACTGCTCGTACCCTACTCATACAATCTCATGCTCCGTTGCGTTTTTGGGGGGNATGCTCCGTTGCATTTTTAGGGGATGCAGTTCTTACATCTTGCTATCTTATTAATCGTATGACATCTTCAGCTATCCAGAACCAAGTTCCATTCTCTGTCATGTTTCCCCACTTACCTTTGTTCT